CGCGGCTGGAGGGGCCCCGCGCTGAGGCGGCCTGCAGGCGGGGGCTCTGGCCCGGGAGGGCCCCCCTTTCTCCCGCTTCCCTTTTTAAAAGCAGGTTTTTGTCACTCGGTTGACGAGACGCGGTTAGCGAAGACCCTGGCGTTGTTACCAGCGAATGTTTTTTTCACGTTCTAGTTAAAACTGTTCTAAAATCTGCATTGTCTGGTGGCAGCTGTACCCCGGGTATTCGTCTGTAGCTCTCTCAAGCTGCAATTCTTGTTGCAGCTGCATTCTCTCTCTTTTTAATATTTTAAAATTGCATGCCCTATCCGTGTTGCACAAAAAGAAACACATGAACACCACATTCGTTATTTAAAATTACTTGAATACAGCAGCATGGAGCTGTGAGTTAGTGTTCTGACAGAGTTTGGATTTGTATGGTTGTAAAAGTCCTCGTCTTGAAAATCTCCCTTTATTGCATGTAGGTTGTCAGCGAAATCTGTGAAAAGGAGTGAACATGCATGATCTGCGCTTAAATCAGATAATTGTCTCAAAGGTCTTTACCTCTGATAAGAAAAGAGCCCCAAATCCCTTTAGGCCAAAAGCAAGTTGTATGTTTCAATCAAATTGTTGTCATGACTACTGGAGAAGCAAGAGTTTCTTTAAAAACGGGTGACTCTTGGTTTTTGAAATTTGTTCTCTTTTGTACTTTTTTTGTTTGTTAAATATTGATAATATATATCAATATATTGATATGCTGAGCAGCCTATGCTTGCTCATGTCGCAACTTCATTTTTTTGGTACTTTAATATTGGGGCAATTTTTTTAATTCTGATGTAAGGATTTTGTCTCAGAATCGTTGAGAATTCCGTAAGTGATACTGAATTGTCATTAAAGGGGTTATATGTGAACCTGTGGGTTGACATATACTACTACTACTACTATGTTACTACTTCTATACAACCATTGAGGTTAGGCAGATTCCAATGCTTTAGGCCAACCTAATTTTTTGCCTCTAAGAGCAAAAGGGGGAGGTGGCATGTTGTCCTTGATATCTGTGCTTCAGGGAACAGGAGTGCTCAAGAGTTTGTTTTTTGGGTTTTTGGTTTTTTTTAGTTGGGGTTGAGAGATAGGGGGAAGAATGGAAAAAGAAGAGAAAAACGAAGCAGCTTCATACATTAGGGCAAATATCAGCCTTCACAAAAGTATGATTAAGGATTTTTTTCTTTTTATTCTTCCTTTCCCCGGTTTTGACAGGCTGACAATAACAGTAACAAGTGAACTGAGAAACCACAGACGAGGAAGAAACCACAAAACTTCTACTTAATCTTTAGCTCTTTTCCCCCCGTTTGTATTGAGAACTAATATGGTATTTATTCTTCCCAGAGGCATTTTTTAGTTAAGAATTAAGAACTTTGAGAAAGACAGTAAAGGAAGACAATGGAAGATGAAGTGTGATAGTCTTTTTCCCTCCAACTTTCAGATGGAATTTGCTAATGAGTTATCTGGTGTCTACAGATAAAGATGAGTTCTTCAGCTTGAGAAAGGAATAAACTTAATATCTTTTTTTACTTAAAGTAAATGCAGAGCATTGTCTAGAGAGAAGAATGTCAGCTCTACTTTTTTGGTATCAACTGAATAGCTGTAAGGCAGACTGAAGGCACAGCTCAATCAAAATGTTTTACTAAGACCAATTGGTTTAGTAATATGTGGTTAATATGAAATTAAGAAATGAGATCCTAAAGTGAATTTTGGAAACAGAAAGTAGAATGGTTAATCTTTCGTACTACCAACTAAACCTTTTAGTGTGTGCGTATATATGGTACTTTAGTAGTGGTTGTATCTGTCCCGTAAACTTAACTGATGTAGAAGACCATTGCAGTATAGCTTGAACAGTGCGTTTAAGGAGAGATTCTTCTTGCACTTTTAGTGGTTAATTTTGTTTTGTTTAAAATGTAAATATGAAACCTTTGGAAAACGTCTGCACTTCAGTATTTTGATAATATGGTGTTTTCAGTATGAGTAGTTCTGTCATCACTGATATTTGTTTGTGAAACCATTCTTATCTCCACTGTTTGCGTGTGTCTATATACAAATCTCGAATTTAAAGCATTTGGATTTACTGTTTCGGCTGGTGACATTTAGATAATTTTCAAACAATATAAATGGTGTTGAATAGCAGCAAAAAACACACCTGTTGTTTAACACAGCAGACTGGATTTATTTTTCCTAAACAGAGGTTATCAATAATGAATTATACTTTAATTAAAGTATTAGTTTTTGATATTGCTGTTGGGTTTTTTCTTTTTCTTTTCCTTTTTTTTTTTTTTCCTACTGCAAGGTACGTTTGTAGAAATGTTAAATAGAAGATGTAAAGACTCTTCATGTGTATTCATGTAACAAACTTTTGCTATATTCAGGAATTAAGTTTTAGTCACTTGTCTCTGAGCGGCTCTCTCTGAAGGTGTGTTTTTCAAGGCTTATTTCAAAAGCCTCTTCTGCTGCCAACCTCTTTTGAGTGTAGTATATGCCATTGATTTAGTAGTTGCTCTACCAAAGCTATCTGTAGTTTTAGACTTGTTTGAAATTTAGGCTCACATGAAATATTTGCACTGGATATGGCTGTTCAGCTAACTGGTAGCTGGAGTTTAAATAAATTTGAAATTCCTTTGAGGAAAGTGAATAGAGTCATGAATGTCTTGATGTCTTTTCTAGCTGTGTGTTTCACTCTTAAATGTTCCAAAAATCACAGGAAATAATATTTTATTGAAAGCATATTTTTCAGAATGAAAGTGCATTTCAGATTTTTGCCTTTTCAGTGACAGAACAGTTTTGCAGTGAAAAAAGGAAAGAATGAGGAAATATATTCTACAGTTATTAATGGTTAGTGGCGTTCACGTTTTTATCTTGGCTAATGAAAGTATGTGAAACATCTTTGTTTAAGCAAACGTTATTAAAGATTGTTCATGCCTTTCCTTGGCTGTGAAACAGCTGATCCAGTCATTGTGGTGTTTCATTATAGTGCTGTAATAACGAGTCCATAAATACAAATAAGGAAAAACTTCCATTTAAGCAAGTTTTTCCATACTTTTTGATCCATCAGATCCCTTACGTCTTTCTGAAAAGAAATCCTATGACCTAGTTCTTGTGTGCTGTTTCTCTACACGCCATGAAAATGAACATTTTCAGGAAGTTTGACAACTATATAGTCTAGTTTTGAGTTTGAGGAGTCTCTTGGCTACACTTAATAAATATTCCATCTGCAAAGCAGTGGAAGAAATTTAAGCTGCAAATACTGATCTGTATGCAATAAGCATGTAGTCTGGATAATTTTAAAGCTATTTTCTAACAGTTCTGCAATGGGCAGAAACAAAGTTTCAGAGTAATTGTCCTGACGCTAGGTCAGTTATCATCATAATAGCATGAAGGTTGTATTGGTTTGACCGAGGCTTCAGTTTCACAAGCAGCTAGGTCAATGTAATGTACCCTTACTATTTCTGAAAAGGAAGAGGGCTTGCTGCCTTCTCCTTTTTCATCCCCTCTTCCCTGGCCACACAGTTCCTCTGGTGCTTGTCAGGCTGTTTCGTGGATGGGTTCAACTTACTAACCCTGCACAAAGCTCTCCGCTTCTTTTTCAGGATTAATCTTTTGCCAGATTGGCGAGGTGAATTGCCTCGCGGTGGAAGCGTCCGGCCACCAAAGCTAGGGCAAGGTGAGCAGCAGGACTTCTGGGAATGGATGCCGCGAGCAGAGCCAGACCTCTCCAGTTTGGTGGCTGCAGGCTGTTAGATTCACTCATGCTGTAACTTGATACAACAAACCACAGGCTGTTGTAACTCTGCACATGTTTATCTGACCAGTAACATGAATATGAGACATTAAAAGGTTTCCCACTGGAACTGCTGTTTCTTGAGTTAAACGTTGCTGTTAATAAGGATGTCCATTTGTTGGAAAATGCTTTCTGTGCATTCTTGATTCGCTACACAGCTAAGATTTTTATCTTCTGTTTTTTAAGTTAAAGCAGTCTCTCCTGTTAAGAAATACAATTTAGTGTGGGTCCTGAATGTAGGAAGAATTATATTCACCTTACTCATGGTGGTTGTGTTGTGTGACTGGATTGAATCTGAAGTATTCAAAAAACAGTCAAGTAGCTGTCACGATGCACTGTAATTCATGTTTCTCACAGAAAAGTAGGAGACATTCCTAAAATTCTTAGAAAGCAGTGATTACGTTCTGATACTTTCAACTGTAGGTCTCATTTTTTTCCTAAATCTAGATGCAGAAATAAAACGCTGAACTTCTGGGTACTAACTACGGAAAAATGGAGCTGTTACGGAGTTGCTTAAAATATGAATATAATGTTGTTAATATCTATCTAAGAAAGTTGAAAAAATTATATTTCAAGTGAGAGAAAACAGGATCTTTTTGTGACATGAAAACTGATGAGATTAGCATTTATATCTACTGTCTCCTTTAGCCTTAGGTTTTTCTAAATACCATCTGAATAATTTAGGTGTTATCATTTGAGTGCCTGAGAGCATTAGATTGTCTACCACTGACTCCCCTTTCTCCTACCTTCTGAACATCTTAATATATCTCTTATTAACATATACAGGGACATAAACATTGTCTACATGGATGTGTTCAAACATGTTGCCGTTTTGTTTGAACTTGCTGATTTACATCTCTTCCTATAATGTTCCTAGGTAATTCGGCTGGGGGCCACCCCTGTTAGCCTGAGCTTGCTATCTATCCAGGTTTATGCTTCCTCTTCAGAGAAAGAGACTTCCAAAAAGGAATTGCTGAAAATTGAGGAGGTAAGTATGGTTAGAGCCCTAGTGCTCTTCTATCTATATGGAAATATCTGTGGAATTCTGAAAGACATTATATTTTGATGCGTGAAAGCATTTAGGTACATCTCTTCACCTTTGTATTCTTGCCTTTAAACTTGCTTCTCCATTTTTAGTAATGGAGATGTCGATATACTTTTGCTTCTTTTACCTGAGGGTGGAAGCCCTCTGCTTGACAGTGTCAGGCTTGCTTGTGTGCAAGATCTTTTTCCTACATTAAAGCCTTCTGTTCTTCATTCAGAAATTACCTTTTCATTTTCATAGATTCACTTGTGGTCATGTTTCAAATCCCCAGGAATATTTTCTTTGCTTTTTATCCAGGTAACACCATGTATTTTTCATTACAAGTACTGTTGGAAATTCTAATAAAAATTCTTTTATGTTCTCCAGTAAAACAGCAAATGAAAAGTTTTTTTTTCTAAAAATATTCTCTTTTTTACAGGCAAAATTCTTGTCTGGCAATGCTTTGAATCCGATATAGTAGCCTACTGAATTTTGTCAGTTTTCCTTTCTTTACAGCATTCAGACCTAGGCAACAGCAAATGCAATCAGTAGTGATAATTAAAACCTGTTACTTTGTTGTTTCTCTAAGATGTTACAAATGTCTTGGTTATATCACAAGTAGAGCTTTAAAACACCCTGTCAAACTTTAGACTCACCAGCAGGTGAGTCTTTTAACAATCTCCAACATTAAAAAAAAGCCCCTGTAGTTGTAACTAAATACAGCTTTATATCCACGAGAGTTTGTAGATCTTTAAAAATTTTAAGTACTTCAACCCAAGCTAAAGTGAGCAGTGAAACTAAATGAAACTTATTTTTGTGTGTACTTAGGTCTTTTGGATGTGTCCGCATGGGCAGTTCACTTGCGTAATACGAGAGGATCAGTAGTTGATGCAGTCTCCTGGCTTCACCCCAGTGAAAGAACCTTAGCTTGGGCCGTCACGTGCCCTACACCACCGCTGGCATGAGTCAGTAATGAGGCAGCAGTTTGAAGTTACCTATGTGCTGAATAATTGGCTTGCCCATCAGCTTCAGCAAAGCAGAATGTGCAAGCCGTGGAGTTTTGGCTGCCTTTCTTACCATTCCCAGTGTACGTTAGTTTGGATCTCTACTGTCAGCTGTCTAGTTTCATAAAATGTATGGGAATTTCCTTATCTCTGAGACTTCTGTCCTGGTGCCAGACGTGGCTGTTAGGTTGTCTAACAGGATCAAATTTAAACTGATTGTGACTATGATTGCCAGACATGACAGGATTTCCTCGGGAAATGAGACTTAAAATGCTTGTCTTTCAAAGTATTATGGGAAATCCAGCTGCATGAGTTATCAAATTATTTGCCAAATTCTATGTCATTATATGTTTTGTTATGGTTAGCAGCTTTTTTTGTTATTATAGAGATACAGTTGTTTTCCAACTTATCTTGAAAAGAGGACTAGCTCCACTTTGATGCAACAATATATGTAAACATCAGTTTATAATAAACTAGTAAATGTAGTATAAATGTGGTATAAAATATAAGCTCTTTATACTAAACATCAGTGTAGTATATAAACTGCTAGGAATTTTAACAGGTTTTGTTTTGATCTAAGCTTTGCTGTTCATATTCAACAATATAGACTTTGGTCTTTTTTTTTTTAATGGAATACGATTTTAAACACCCTAAATATGGTGGTTTAGTATTTATTATGTGAAGATGCCCATTGCTCTTCCGGTGGATGTTACAGTTCCTATTTGCTCAGCCCCATGGTGCTATTAATGCTGTAAGTTGCTGATGGGGTTAATGACTGCAACTTGGGGATGTCATACCATTTTCCTGCTCAGTAACAAACAGACAAATTTGTATCGGATGTTGCCTTTGTTAGAAGCTACTTAGACTCTTTAATGATGGCTTGTGCAAATATAGAAAATGATCGATTGTGATTTCAGAGTTCTAGTACATTTAGTGTGTTAACTGGGAACCAGAAGTGCTGATTAAGACCAGAAACATTTTTCACAATTATGTTTTGTGTTCTTATTAAACTAGTTTAATATTAATTTATAACCTGTGACTTGGATCATATAGCAGCTATGGATGAATTGCATAGCAATTAGAAGTCATCTTCATCATAGTATGTAATTAAACTTTGCTCATAATGCTTGTCTCACAGCTGTACCTGAGTTTTTATTATGCATTGTTTATGTAGTAAGCACTGTGTTAGGCGTTCTCTGGTTAGACTGTTCATGCCCTGAAGACCTACTTACAGGATTACACCTTTGTTTTTAACCTCTTGTTTGCTAATATTCACAGCTGTCACTCTACTCCTCTCCAGCTCGTGAGACTAAATATGTGGAGAATCCACAAACCCAATTGGAAGAGGGGGTTTCGCGTTTACGGCATGTTATGGAACCATATACAGCCTGGTGTCAGGTATAATGGTTTTATATCACGTCTGGTAGTGGTTCAGTGATAAGGGTTGAACTGGGATTTTATTTTTTTAGGGACAGAATTAATAGATACCAGCAAAGTAGAAGTTGACAGCTGTACAAGCATTTTTCCAAAACGCTGCATTACTTAAAGTTTTCCACAGTTTGGGTCATAATATTTACCCCCTCCTCACACAAAACCAGTTGTTTCTTTCTACTAATTTGCTGAACTAAACCTGTGCTTTTTCACATTTTTATCTGTCCACAAGAATTAAAAGAAAATTAACTAAAGCTTAGAATTGTTATCTGAAAAAACTCTAAGCTTAATGATATCTAGGGATATCTGGATTTGGTACTGTCCTGTGACTGAGGAAGACAGGACAGTGATTAAATTTACTTTTTCCATGCTTAAGAAGGCCTTAAATTATCAAGCAGTGTGTTTTGGAGCAGCAATACTGAGTTGTCCTCGCTGCAACTGTGACAAAACACAACTTTGCAGAAAATAAATCAGTATTAGCTGAACTGGAATGTTGAGGGAAGGAACGCGGCTCTCTGGAATAGAGAAAATACCAGGCCACTAGTAGTGGCAAACCTAGCTCCCAGACCTTACTCCAAAACTTTCTTATATATTTTATTAGGTAGCATGTTTATACTAGACAGTCATTAAATACAAAAATAGTCTTTGGAGCATAGAGGAAAACAAAGTTCTTTGTAATCAAGGCTTAAATTACTGATATTAGATTGCAGAGTCATATGATGGATTTCTTGCTCTTTCTGACCCAGCACATGTTGAGGCTTACTTTTGAAGCGAGGGCATCCTTGTCATCTGGCTGCTTCTTGGCAACCTTAGGTGACTTTGCACTCTGGCTGTTGTGAATCCTCTTCTTAAGCTGCAAGCTGGGTTTTCCAGTTCTCCATAGAAAGCCAAGCTGTTCAGATCAGGATGTCCTTTCTGCCTAGGTGTTCTGTGTTGTGGTACTAACCTTTAACAGTATTGAAACATCTTTTCAGAAGTATTCAGGGTTACTCAGTCTAGCGATGTGTTTCTAAAGTGCCACCAGCAGGAGTACTGTTTTGAAGGAGAAGGGGGATTTTCCACAGGGTAGATAGAGCTCTGATCTCCTAAAGGCATGGGTTCTGTTTGGTTGCCTGTGCTAACCATAACTGGGAATGAAATTTGAGACGAGGTTAGTTGCCCAGTTGGACTGACTGCACGTAAGCCTTGAACAGTGCTTTATGTCTCAGTGGCCTGTTGTCTTCCAATTTGCTTTATTTTTTTGTCTGCGTAGTGATCATTTACATAAGATGTGCTCTTCTGCTCACACAAAACAAGCCATTTCCTGGCAGTGGTTTACTGACTCATTTTATGAAGTGGGCATGTAAACTTTATGGTTTAGGGTCATCTTGCTTGCTTAACTGTAGTCAGAGATAGTTTTGGTTTTACACCACCCCCACCCCCTGCTATGTTAAAGAAAATAACATTTTAGGTGTGTCTTAGTTGTCTTTAAAATTAAAAGCATAACCCAGGATAATGAGAATAAAATTGGCTATGTTTGTATATCCATTTTACTTTTACAAAATTGCTTGCTTAACTGTAGTGGATAGTCAGTTCAAAACACAGATGTACAAATGAGCCAGTTATGTGTGAGCTGTGACAGAAGATCAGACTTAGTCTCTGGGGTCTTTAGAGCATGTTCTTTTTTCCATTGGCTTTTAATAAGACCAACATCCATTTAGAGTTATGTTGTGTGTCACATGCTAACACTTTTTTTTTCATGACAAGTTTTTTTTTTTAAGTCATTCTTGCCAGTGAGGAAATGAAAGTTCTAAAGATACTATCCCCCGTGCAGTATCCTAAACAAATGCTTTCACTTCTGCGCAGATACAGCTCAAGTGGTATTGCTAGACCGTTCTCTGTTTTAGCTTTGGGCATACATGTGTATGAATTTGTTCCCTAATTGATAGACAGTCTTACACTGTCTCTCCAAAAGATTATTAGCATAATAATTAGCAGGGTTGCTCTTATTGAGATTTTTTTTTTGTCTACTTTGATAAAAGGCGTCCTGCATATTTTCAGTCTGAGAAAAAAATCTAGAAGTAATTTGTTGGGTTGATGCAGTGCTCTTTGATTTACTTTGGACATTGTACGGGCGTTGATGCAGTGCTCTTTGATGATTTACTTTGGATATATGTGGACATTTCATTTTCCAAGTCACTTAAAAAATACAATTTTGTTAGCCTAAGATAGTCTCTTGGAAAGTGGAATTTATCGCCTTGCAGAATGAGTCATGTACCCATGTGTAGTGCTAGGAAGGAGTTTATTACAGTTTTGTACTTCCTTTCTTTGCATCAACTCAAGTATTTTTGCAATACACTGAGAAACCTGAGATAATCCTGAGTTTCAGCTGCCTGATCAGGAACTCAATGAAATATTGAAGTTGACTTCTGTGTTTTGAGGTATTATATTTCATCTGTGTCTAAAGGCTACTTTGAGAAAAAGCTGTACGTTATGCCAAATGCAATGTTAAGCAAGCATAGCCCTGTAAGTGAAGGGTGGAAGTGGGAATAAAAAGAAGTTATTTTAGGGACCTGGCACTACTTTTTTTCTTCTTTTTTTTTTTTTTTTTCATTTCTCTTCTTTGCCAGGTCAGTTAGAATCTGTAGTTAATATTTTACTTACTTGGTATCTATTTACTGTTGTTTTCTTTTCTTTTCTCTTTTTTTTAGGATCTTTATGCCAAAGCTATGCCCAAATTAGAAAAAGCTGTTGAGCATGGTAGAGGTAAATCAGTTTAGTTTTCTTAACTAGCAATTTAAAATGCAGGACTGTACTATATTTTCTGTTAAAAGGGAATTCCATTAAGCATCATTATATATATAATTTCTAATGCATTTAAGACTACTTTATCTGCACTGTATATCTGTTTGAATTTCCTTTGTAGGTCATTATGACACTACATTTCTAAACAATTAAAATCTAAGACCTGCATCTATGTCGACCAATGTCACTAAAAATGACAGTTATGCAGGAAAAGAAGGAAAAAAAGCCTCACAATTTATTCCCCGTCGGTAGTATTTGCTTGACCCAGCCTAATAACTGAAACTTCCTGCAATGTCTATTACTTGTCACAAGTGTTAGGTCTTTTGTTTGTAATTTTTAGCCTTTTCATTTTGGTTTACTTCCTTGGATCTCCTAAGAATTTTGAATTAATCAAAAATAATTTGTATTTATTTTTGGTTTTTGGAAGCATCCTTTCATACTTAGGCTCATCAGGACTGAGCATGGACGCTATCTAGAGCTCATCTCAGATACTGCGCCTCTTTTCCTTAAACTTAACAGTCTCAGTCTTTTGAACTCCTTTGTATGGAAGGTTTTTCATAGTTTTTCGTTCCCCCATCGGACTCCCATCTTGGAGTGAGCTTTGTTTATGCTGTGTCTTTCCTTTGTTCTGTGATTTGTTTTTTGTACAGTGTTTTACTGAAACTAATTCTTGTTAACATGTAATAAATGTAAGAATCCATTTTGCAAAGGTTTTTGTCACTAATTTGAAAAAGATATAACCGAGATGCAAAAGAGCAAAACAAAACGGATGGCCCAGGAGCAAAGGCAAAAGCTTCTATGAAGATTGGTAAATACAATACGATGTTCAGTTTCATCCATGTGTCACTAGAGAAGATCTCAAAGGCTTTGAATTTTATGCCAGCAGATCTAAAATGTGCATGATAGTTAAATATGTTTTGATAACTCTTTATGTTTTGTAACAGTTGCCAGCATGTATCGATGATTCCTTATCACAAAAACATTTTCACATTGCATTAAAGCACTTTGTTCTGACTTCTTTTCAGAGGGCTATGAATTTCTCCAAAACCCCCCTGCTGGATTTTATCCAAGACTTGGTGTGATTGGTTTTGCTGGAATTGTTGGATTGTTTCTTGCTAGAGGTAAGTGGGAACCTTTTGAACTGCTTATATTATGATTTGGGATAAATAATTTATTTGCGGTTTTTTGGATACTAATTTTTAATCATGACGCATGAGATCTGAACTTAACTGTAAAAACATGTTTCTACAATGTTCCTCCAATTATAAAGAAACTTAATGTAAAAGGTGTGTAATAAGCATCAATTATTGTTTATGAATACTGTATTTGTTACTGGAATCCAGTCTTTGATCTTTTCTAGTTCTATCTTATAGCAAAAGTAGAAAAGGATTTTTTTTTTTAGCCTAAAAATCTTTTTAATTACTTAAGTTCTTGATCACATATGTCATTGTAGAAAACTAGAGAGGAATAAATTATGGTAAAATACAGAGGTTCCTGAACTAGGATACATGTATAATTAGTTGTATATTCAGGTTCCTTCAGAATATTGTGTGTCCAGGCACAGAGCTGCTGCAGATGGTGTATTCAGCAAAAATACTTGTGAACTCTGGGTGTACTATAAATACATGCACGTTTTATGCTATAGAAATGTGATACAGTTAATTTCATCACACTAGTTGAAGAAACTAATATGTTTATGCTTTCATAGAAATAAATGTTATTTTAAGAAATGTTAATTGTGAAAAAGTATTTTGTGTTTGTACTGAGATATTCTTAATACAGTGAAATGAAGTAACACAACAAGAAAACTTGTAGATAACGGAACTGTAAAGTTCTAGAATTTAAAAACTAGTGAGGACTAACTTTGGATAAAAATACACCTTTGTGGAGCCTGTATGTGTTGAACTAACTGGAAGTGTGTGCTTGGCTATGTAGAAACGGAAAGCATTCTGTGAATATATGCACTTATAATGAAAATCAAGGTCTCCAACTTTACCCATTTAAAGGTCTTTCTCTTCAAACTCCTGCTTCTTGAGTTATGTGATTATGAATGAGACCAGCTTCTAGCCTGTAGCAAAACTGGCGGGGGGCGGGGGGGAAGTGCAGTCTTGGGGCTGGATCTGAAAGATTAGAGGGTCCTAAGTTTAATAAAAAAAAATCCCTTATAATACAAATGGCTGATTTGTGAATCTTTTAGGATGGGAGCCATAATTTTAAAACTTTTTGTTTGGTTATAGTTTACAATACTGACCATTATTTCCAGAAAGTATTCAAACTGTAGAAGGAGGTGCCCCTTAATTTTGATGCTACAGAAAGTTAGAACCAAATGTCCTCTTTTTTTATCCCTTCCCCCCCGCCCCCAGGCTCACTGGAAAAATTGCCCTCTTGGAAGATACAGATAAAACCTTTCAGATGTAACCATAACACTTGAAGATACAGCTGCTCACTAAGTAGAAAGTACAGTATTCAGAGTTTAATTATGTGAATATTGTGCAGTCATCCAGCTTGGTTTAAAATGCCGTTGAAGATAATTTGTTCTAACCTTGTTGAGAAGTACTGTAACGGACATGGGAGTATTCCTAAACTTCCCTCTAATGGGTATCTCCAGCAGGTCGCAGCCTGCTGGAAGGCATTCATATCTTCAACTGTTATATTTATTCCTAAAGTGATATTGTAGGCACACTGATAAGCTATCACTAAGGAAGATTCCCCATTCCCAGAAATTACAAGAAAAGTGTAATTTTTCTGGTTTTAAAGATGCAATGAAGCTTTCCTTTTCTGTGCTTTCTCATAGCTAATTGGTACCAAGTTCCCTCTTCACAAGACTAGCAACATCACTTTATGAATGTCTTGTTCACTGCTGAGTTTCTCATCTCATCATGAGCATATGTTAGTGGAAACACTAAACACTTCTAACATGCGTTTCCTCTTCAAAATTTATTATTCCTTTATTAGAAGCACATGTGGCTTCACATTGTTGTGGTTTAACCTGGCAGGCAGCCAAATATCATGCAGCTGCTCACTTGTAACCCCCTCCCCCCCCGCAGTGGGGTGGGGAGAGAATTGGAAGGGCGAGAGTGAGAAAAACTCATGGGTTGAGATAAAGACAGTTTAATAGAACAGAAAAGGGAAAATAATAATGATAATGATAAAATATACAAAATAAGTGATGCACAATGCAATTGCTCACCACCCGCGCTGACCGATAACCAGGTAGTGATCGGTACTTCCTGGATCACGCCTACCATTCATATACTGAGCATGATGTCACATGGTATGGAATACCCCATTGGCCAGCTGGGCTGGCTGTCCTGGTTATGTTCCCTCCCATCTTGTGTACCTAGCTCAGTCAGTAGGCATGGGAGCTGTCCTTGGACTAGGAGGGCACTTAGCAACAACTGAAAACATCAGTGTGTTATCAACATTCTCCTCATACTAAATCCAAAACACAGCACTAGCAAGAAATTTAACCCTACCCCAGCCGAAACCAGGACACGCATATAGAGCAGGCTGTTCTATGAGGAACAGAACTACTGCACCCTGACTCCTGTACGTCTGTTCTATGACCTTTTTTCTCCTGCACTGCTTGCTTTTCTCCTTTACCTGCTCCCTTCTATGTTTCTTTCTGATTGGATAAACTGCAGCATGCCCTGTAACTGATTCAGTGATGCATATTGTCACTGGCCAGCCAGGATACACGACCTGTGGCCAGCTGTGATAAGAGGATGAACTTTTCAGGCAGTTAAATTATTTTAGACTTGTATAATTGAATAGAGAGTTCAAATTGATTAAAATGTTCAAAATTTAGTTGGGAACTGAGCAGTGGGTACATAGCATAATTGTAAGAACTTTAGTTTAAAAATACTTTCAAATGCTTTGCAAATTGCTATAGTGAATCAAGAAAAATTATTCATAATAGCAGTTGTGGAAGAATCAATATTTGTGAGTCAAGGTAACTTACAAAGTTTGTATTGGAAGGTCTCTTATGCTGCTTGATGCATCAAAAGAATGCTATCCTAACCTTTCTTTGCCTGAGTTTTTATTTTTAGTTTAGAAAAGAGTATCAGTTGGTATAATTCTCTTAAATATCTCTTAACTGTGACTTTTACTTCATTATTTAGTACCGAAATAAATTATGTATTACCACAGTAAGTATAGTTGTAAGGTAATTTTCACTATGGAAAGATGTTAATAAAAATGTTCTCTTAAAAAGGTTAAAAGAATAATTACTGATCAGAGTAATTATGTTTCTTAAGAAACCAGTAGGACTGAACAGAAAATAAAACTGTATTTAATAAAATTGTTTTGATTATAAATAAAAGGGTAGGACCATTCAGCTGTCTTGGTTAACATCTCTAACAATGTTTTGGGTTTTCTTTGGGTTTTTCTGTTATGAAACAGGCTCAAGAATAAAGAAGTTAGTGTATCCTGCAGGTCTCATGGGTATTGGTGCCTCCATGTATTATCCTCAGCAAGCGGTTTCTATTGCAAAGGTCAGTGATGATACTTTGCTTTGGAGAAGTGTCTTTTACTTTGATTATTGCCTCCTACCTTCAAATTAACTGGTAATCCATTTTTAAAAGCCATGTCAGTGTGCTTGGCACTTAACAAAACGATAGTTATTTTGTCAAAGAACATGCAGTCTAGGCTAAAAGACAGTCAGATACGCTGTTTCTTTTAGTGACTATTTTTTTCTAACGTCTGCAGTAGTGTCTTCAGTTTCAGGAACATAATTTTCTTTCTGAATCTCTAACCTCAAATAATTATAATTTAATGTAAATACGCTTATTAAGTGCAGTTTGCATGTTTACTTACAATACTAAGGAAGCCTGAAATATCTTGAGAGCAAATGAAAACAGGATTTGAAAGAAAGAAAGAAAGGAAAAAAAAAAGGAGAGTCTATAGAGAAATCATAGGAACAACATTTTGAGATAAACATTGTTATTGAAGTTTTCTGCTTTTTATTGGATAGAGTTTTAAGAAAGATAGCATGCACATTCTGGAATGGGGTAAGAATTCTGCTGCTTATTGGATGCCTTTCCTGTTTATGCATTTGTTGTTTCAGGCACATAAGAAACATGTTAACTTACAGTTGCTTAAGTGGGTTTCCTGTGAAAGAAAGAACTGAAGAGACTAGACAATTGTTTACAGCCGCTACTGATGTCAGTTCGTATGCCTTGCTGTCCACACTTAATTGTACTGGCAGATTTCTCAGTTCTCCACCAATGTTCTTTTTCAAATTTAGCTTTTAACCACTTACAGTGCACATATTTTAGTGTGTCAGAAATACTTTATATTTCAGGGTTTGGTAAATTGGTTATGCAGTGACATTGGTGAATGTCACTGAGATGTCAGGATGAAAATATGATATTCTCAAGAACATATGATGTTCTTTGAAAACTGAAAGGTCGTTGACTTAGGGAAAGTAACAAATAGTGTGTTTGAACTTTGCCAGCATGGTGATACCCTGATCTTGGGTGGAATCTTTTTTTAGTGCTTCCGGGATTCAGGTGCTCTAAATCCAGATAGTTCTGTGGACTTATTCCCAGGGAGTGAAAATGGTGCAAGTGGCATGAAAAAGAACATAAAAATTTAAGAAACGTAGACATTTCTGTTGGAAACTGTATTGAAATTTTAGTTGCCTTTTGAACAGAGAAGTGGGAAGTGATTGAATGGTGTTCAGACTGATGTTACTGTTTTTAAAGAAGCTCAGTTCAGTCTTAACTGTGGATTTGCTACTAACAGCTTCACAATACCGTGTTTATTTTATGAAAACTTTGAAGTGCATGATTGCCCTTTGATTAATTCACAGTTCTTAGTTTGACTGTAACAAAACATCTGATACGAGACCATGAGCCTGAAACTTGATTGGAGTAGGTTTAGCTTTGTTGACTTGGTCAGGACACTAGACATATGAGTTTGAAAACTTCTGTGGAGAGTGTGATATCCTAGATACTGTTTTGGTTCCTCTAATCTCTCTCGTGCTTTTCTTTTCTTAAAGAAGCAAAGTTTTAAGCATATCAGATCTTACTGTCCATAATTTTTATGCTTTAATCTGAAATTGGAAGCACTTTAATCTCTAGTAATTATTTTGAAATGTTTCATAGGCCTTTCAAAAAAAATCTATAAGCCTGGAGAGGGATGCCACCAGTACAAAGCTCACTTGCCAAGTTAATAGAACAGTATAGGAAATATTCTGGAACATAAATTTTAAATTTTTTATTTATTCTTTATATTATGTTCTTTTTATTTTTCTTCCACATTTGAGTACTTCATCACTGCTTTTTCATTTACAGGTTGGTACAGTTTCCTTCATTTAGTAAACTTTCAGATTTGACCATACTTTAAAAGACTAAAAATGTTTTCAGTGTTTTTTCTTTTTTTCCCTTCTCACCTTTATTAAAGACTTTCCATTGGAGAGTTGGAAATAAACACAGCAAAATGTATTTGCAGTTGAGGTACAACACTTGATGCATCTGTCTGGAAGAAAACTTTTTTCTTTAATTAAAATGTATGAGTTGCTAAGTGAAGTTATAGCACAGAATTCATCACTGGTAATAGGTAGTTTTCAGACACTATTCATCTAACTGGAGATGGAAGAAATGCACAGACTAATTTTTTTTTTCCCCTCATTTTGGTAATCATTCTAATAAATCACAAATTTGTAAGGGATTTATTTCCTCACTGCTAGTATTACTTTAATTTGTATAGCTTTGAACAAATGGTCAGACTGTATATGTGGTAAGAGAACTGAATTTAGTACTAAAGTTTATTTTGTTCTGCTGGAACTTTAACTAGCGTTTTGGAACCGTATTGCTTTCCAGCTAATCATAATACATTCAAAATGTTTTGTATTTACTGTGGCTTATCTTCCATCTGGAAGAAACTTTCCATTATGAAGTTACTTAAATCAGTCTTTTTATCATGAGAATTAATTTTTGTTCCTTGTTATTATAACTTCTCAAATTTTCTGAAGTAGCGTGTGTTATGCTTACCTTCTTCTTGAAAGAAAGAAAAGCTTCCTAGTATGTGTTTATTTCTTTGACAACAAACTAAATTATTTCTATGTCTTTTGAACCTATACTACGCCCCTTGCTCAGTTCAGTCCAGAAGGTATAAACAGTTGTGCGGGCACAACTGAGGGCATGACATACAGGAACTGTGGATTGAAAAGGAGCTGGGGTCACTTGATCCATGTTTGCTGCAGAATGAAATGCTTGTGAAATTGCACTATGACTACTTTGTTAACAATATAAATGTAGAAAAGCCAGCAAATTCTTAGTTTAGTTTCTCAGCATGCAATGTAGATAAGGAATTGCTAACCATAATTCTGCTCTATAATCTTGACATATAACATTCGGTATAGTCAATATTGTATGCTTATAGTCCTGTGTAGAATTAAAATATGGGAGCTTGTTTACATGCGCATTAGGCCTTAGAGACCGCTGATGCTACCCCAGTAGTGCCTAGTATGGGTGTTTGTGGCCCAAGTTCACTTTAAAACTATTTCAGAGTCCCTGTTGAGAACCACTCAATTTCACTTTTGAAATTGTTTGTTCAAATTTTAGCATACAAACTTACTTACAGTGTTGCATTGAACAGAGGTGGTATTTTAGCATGTTGTAATTTAACACAAACAAGCTGGAAACTGTTACCTTCCAGAAATTAAGAATTCCAGATGACTGAATGGAAAAACTTGTCTGTCTTTGAAAGGAACTCTTTGTGTGAATGTTGGAATGAACACTTTGAACAATTGAATGAACTGTTTGTATTATGATTGTACCTTTCACTTTTCCTGGTTGGAACTGCCACTCCCAAGAATAGCGGTGGCAACTGCAGTACCCACCTGCTTCCTCTTCAACTGCTCCATGAGGAGGAGAGGTATAAAACACAAGCCTATAATGCATGACTCTAGTGGTGTGTTGGTGAGAGGATGCCTTGGGTGGTTATAAAAATTTCTTGTTTATGTTCCTGTTGACGCTGTAACTTGCAGCTTACAGTCTATCTAGAATTGTATTTTTCAACCCATGCAAACTGTGAAGGTGTGCATGTTGGGAGGTCTGTACAGTGTTAAAACATTGGTTGAATGTGGCAGACTAAGCTGTCTGGGTTGCTGTATCTTGTGATGTAGCTACTTTACTCCAGCAACATGAATGACCAGTTTCTCATTTAGTGCAATTCATAATTAATTTGATCGTATGACTCCTATAATAAGAATATTTTTAAGTTTCTACTGTTAGGTATTTAAAGTGTTTTTAAGTATTTTAATGGAGTATTTTTAAGCAGGAACAAGAAATGGCTTATGGATAGTTGTTGTTGTTTTTTCTCATTTTATGTTGATAGCTCAGTAACATGGCAGACAAAACACCCCTCTGTTTATTTGTTTATTGTAGTTATTTTTCAGTCCTGGTAGGTTTGTACTGCTTGCACGCTATCTTTCCAGATGAGCCATAGGCTCCTCTGACTTTCAGAACTAGTTTGTTGAAGTACTTGAGAATGAACAGTCCTGATACTGAAGAAGATGATAACTGTCTATACCTGTAATGTTTGAATTGAGGGATTTTTGAGATTTAACACATTCATCCCTGGAACAGTTAGTGTGCTTTTTTCTGATGACCTTTATCACCTTCAAATATAGAGAAAACTCAGTGCATCATACCGACTTGTTTAAAACCAAACTACAACTGTGATTGTCAGATGTGGTGAGAAATATGCTAGTTCTTTGTATTTAAAACAGCCAATGTTTTGGATTTAGTTGTGACTCAGAAATGTAGTTGCTGATTTGGGTTTGTTTTCTTTTAATTTTAATTATTAAATAGCCTCTTCTGTAAAGTAGTAACATGATCTCTGCCCAGAAGCACATCCCTTACTATTGTGGTACATAACTGGTGTACTTAATTTTGTTCAGACAAACAAAGGGAAGTGGTTCTTTGTACCATGTGTGCCCAGCGGTAGAAATCCTTGGCACAGGATGTTGTGGATGCTAAAAATTTGCATGGGGTTCAAGGGGAAGTGCAACAAGTTCATAGGAGGTGAAATTCCTTGGGCGTTGTTACAGACACCGAAATCACCTCTGGAAATCACCTCTGGCTCAGGAAATCTCTGAGCAGCGAATTGTTGGAGATTGGAAGAAACTTAAAGATTTCATTCAGAAACTGTTTCAGAAACATCATTTATGCTTGCCCTGTTCTCATAGTTTTGGTTTTCCAGCTTTGCCTGCTGTGGGAGATAGAGTGATACCTTCTTATTTCTTGATTTCATAAGTCTTTTAGTTTAATAGCTGTCTAGTTGGGCAAATTGTCCATTTCTGCAATTGTTTATTTGTAAGAAAACTGGAAGTGAGTTCTGACCTGAGCCTGGAGCTGTGAAAACCTAACCCTCTTGAGTTTTAAAGGATGCTATGAGTATTACAGTTCCATATCATGTAAGGGGCAGGAGATAATCTTTTATTAGACTTGGGGATTTTTCCTGTCGTAAAATTACCTGTTGGTGTAATATAGCAAATGCCATCTTTCCTAGCTGTCTTCTGTTTTGAGAGTTGACAGCTGGTTATTCATTACAGCCATCTATCAGCAAATTAGGTCTTTCTTCTAAATAGCAAATAAAAAGAAACAAAGGGGTACTCTTACTGTTCTGTAAACGCAGTGAAAGTGTGAAATTGTAAAATAGTGACAAACTAAGTAGGGGATTTTTTTTTTGTTTTTAAAATGAGTATGGTCAAAAATGGTCAAATTAAGAAATAATTTGCATATGTTAGATCTGAACATCGAATACTAAGAAAACCAGAATTGTTTACATGCAGCATCATTCCACCCTTTTTTATAAAGATATATTTTCAGGTAGTCTTCAAACAGTTTTTTTAGCAAGTTGGCTTTTCCTCATATTTTTCAAGATGTTAATGCTGTACACCCTGAACTTGAACAGGAAGATGTTAAAGATCTTGTGTTTTGAGACTTCTTCCACTTAAACAAGAAGCAAAATAGTATTTCCCAGATTATTAAGTTCATGCTTTCTAATATCTTTTGTGTCAAAGGTTGCTGGTACACAGCTGTATGACTGGAGTCTTCAGGGATATATTGCTGTAGAATCTCTTTGGAAGGATAATCCTAAGAAGAAGAAATCTGGGAAAAAAAGTGATAAGGTAAGAAGTCTGAGGAACTTGATTTCTCAATCTACCACTGCATTTTCAGACAAAGAATATATGATGTCTTACCTTAGAGATGCCTGCCCCTGATGACAGAGCAAATGCTAACATAATGGCTTTGTTTTCCAGAGTTTGGCAAGCACTGAGGTTTCTTTAAAACAGCATTTTTGAATTAACATTGCTAATACAACTAAGTGAATGTCTGCATGCTTATTTTCAGTTTTAGAATGGAGCAGATTTCCTCATTTCCCCTACAGAACAGTTTTCCCTAATCCCCCTACTGAGCATCAGCGATACAATACAATTTCCTTGCATACTTCACCAGAGGAGGGAAGCCTTTTTTTCCAGCACTCCTCTGGTCCATGCTTATACAATACCACCATTTTAAGGCATGTGTGCCTTTAGTTACTTCAAATCTCAATATCTCAGCAAGTGTGCTCTTCCATAGTTGATTTGTAGTCATTAAAGTAGTTGCACTCTATTTAAGTCGTATTATTCAGTGTACGTGAATGAATTTATCCTGGTTTTGAGTTAGTGTTTGTATTGGTATCTAACTATTTGCTTATATGTTTGTGTGTGTTAAAGCAGTGTATATTAAGACTTTATATTTATATTAGATTTTTTTGTATATATTATGTATATTATATTTCTGTATAAAACCACAGAATGGTTGAGGTTGGAAGGGACTTCTGGAGGTCATCTGGTCCAAACCGCTGCTCAAGCAGGGCCACCTAGAGCCAGTTGTCCAGGACTGTGTCCAGGCAGCTTTTGAATATCTCTAAGGATGGAGACTTCCACAACCTCCTTGGGCAACCTGTGCCAGGGCTCAGTCACTCTCACAGTAAAAAAAGTGTTTCCTGACGTTCACAGGGAACCTCCTGTGTTTCAGTTTGTGTCTACTGCCTCTGGACCCATCACTGGGCACTACGGAAAAGAGCCTGGCTCTGTCCTCTGTGCACCCTCCCTTCAGGTATTTGTACACAATGATGAGATTGCCCCAAGCCTTCTCTTCTGCAGACTGAACAGTCCCTGCTCTCTCAGCCTTTCCTCATAGGAAAGGATGTTCCAGTCCCTTAATCATCTTTGTGGCCCTTCGCTGGACTCTAGCCAGTATATCCATGTCTCTCTTACACTGGGGAACCTGGAATGGGACACAGTACTTAAACTTCGTCTGTAGATTTGGTCAAACATGGTACATAAATGTAGTGAATTGTAGGGGTTTAGTTTTGTATATCTATAATTGTTTGCTTCTACAAATTGCTCGATGTTATGACTGGATAGTGATGTCCAATAGAGCAGTACACAGTGACATCATTATGTTAGAGCAAATAGTCATAAATACTGTCCCCCCAAAAAAAATCTGAAATAAGATTCTATTTTGCTGCTTCAAATGCGTTTGCATTCTACAAAATGCTACCAAGTTTCAAAATAAGTGCAGTGTGATTGATTAATGATACTAATAGAAGATTAGCACTGACTTGTGAAGAAATGGGAACTTGTTTTAATGAATCATTATGTTATGTAATGTCTTGATCGTAATTTATAACCTGCCTGAAGCTTTTGGCGTTAAGTATCTCAATGATGTTTTTTGTTTTTTATCTACTAGACCTTTCTGTTACCCCACAGGAGCAAGGTGTCTTTGTAGTTGTACTTCTCTGATACAGATAAGCAAACTGACTTCTAGGAAATATATGTAGGTGGCACAGTGAAGCAGTGTGTAAGAGAGTGGAGAACTGTGTGTGTTGATTAAATGTGTGCCAGGGAGAGCCTGTAAGGTTTTTAGGGTATTTTTTTAAACTGCTGCTTAAAGAAATAAAAGCTCAGGTGTGTAACGTAAAACTTCTGTGGTTTTAAATTCACTTCTAAACTTGCTGCATCTTTAATTCCTGATTTCTAAGCAACTATGCTTGTTCTGTTGATACAAATTGCTGCCCTAGCTGCAGACTGCTTCCCATCTCTTATTTTAGTTGTTTAATGTAGCCTAGCAAAACTAACAGATGATTTGAAAACAACTTTTGAACCAGCAGAAAGTCTTGGTCTTTTACTGTGGATGGAGCCATAGCTCACAACTGGTTAACAGTTCATACTAGGTTGACAATGATGTATGGCTTCTGGGTTGTTGTAAACCAGAAGTCCTATCTGACCAGAACATGGTATTTTTAACCCAGAGACCTAAGACGTAAGGGGGATAGCTACTGAGAGAGATGTTTTGGAGAGGCAATTGCACTTGAATAGACTGCAGGTATGGGACGAGTTCCCTAGGTAGGTCTAAGTGTGGTACTAGTTCCAAACAAGCTGGGTTGGAGAAATGCTCGTGTCCTGTCAGTTGCTGAGTCTTATGAGAGTGGAGACTTTCATCAGTGCATACTCGTCCTATATTGGCCCTAGGTGCTTCAGTAAATGCAGTTGTATAGCTCTTTGAATAAACAAAGGTTAGTTAATCATACTGTACCTTTCCTAAAACCTAGGCTGTCAAAAAGTATCTCAAAAAAAAAAAAGGCAACATTAAAATATTTCAGAAAGACAAACTGACAGCATCAGTAAAAATTAGCTGAGCTTTTTATTTTATTGTGTCCCAGGCTTTCAAAAGGAAATATGTGGTTGTTATTGGAAGGCAAAAACTTTTGAAGCTTTCATCTTATTATAAAGCTTATTCAAGCACTTGCTACCTCAGCAGAAAAACAAACGACATGCAAAATTGCAGAGACCACTAAGTAAACACACTTCTTTTTCTTCCTCCTTGCAGAATCTTTAAATCACACCCCTTAGTTGCCAAAATGTTATTTGCACAAAGGAATGAAATGCCATTGAATGGTTTCCTCTTAAAGTTCATCTAATTGATCAGATATTGTTAGTGTTGCCGTTTAACTTCATGGATTAGGCAAGATACAAAAATGCTGTGACTCAAATGAAGAAGCACTAGGCACTTGATGAAATTGCCTTCATTTCAGATGTTCAGTGATCTCTTACCCCTGGAGTATACAGCCTCATTGCTTCTTTGTCCTCTGAAGTTGTTGAAGAGAGTGTATTGTCTCCCTGGCATCTAGAGGAGCTGAACAGCAGTTGTAAAAAGTCACATGCTTTTGAAGTCACTAGAATGTGGACTGAAAAGTATTTCTAATGGAAGAAGTATGCTCTGAAACATCCTTTTGGTGAAGCAGTATAAAATACATAGTTGAGAAGCTGGTGGGGTAAGAGTGGGTTTGGTTTTTTTAGTTAGTTGCTTTGTTTTTTTTTTTTTAAGATAACATTATGATGTTCTATCAGGATGAGGTCAGTCATAATTAATAATGAAAACCTCTTACCTTTTTTATACATATAAGCACTGATGTATCCCTAACATGAGATGAGAGGTGAAGTTTACCCTAGAAAAACTTTTTCAGTCTGTCTCTAATGCTGTGTGGTTATACTAGTGCAAAAAAGTACTTTTTGTTCACACAGATTATTAGATCCACCAAATTAGTATCAACTTTTCCAGCAAAAGAATTTCTGATATAAATATAAGTTGTATTTTTATTGGAGCTTTTACTGATACACAAGTGTCATGGAAGGAAATAAATACTTCTAACTATCATCTAATAAAATTGGCAAATCATTCTAGGATAGATTCTGGGACATCTGTCTTAATTTGACAGCCCTGTGAAAAAATTGGGTTGTTTTTATATATTTATTTCGTATTGTCATACTAGGCAGCTAGATTCCTGAACTAGTGATGGCAAATATAAATGTTACTCTTGAGTTGTTGTAATAGCAGATGTAACCCATTTCGTAATACCATGCCAGAGCAAAAGATGTTATTTTTTGTTTTTGTGACATTCACTTTAGCATTTTCCTGTTGCTACACAACAGATTCTTGCAAACAGTCAAGCAATATATGGGTGGCTCTTCTTGGCTTGTGTTTATTTGTTGTGTTGCTCATAATTTGTTTGATAGTCATAGGTACTACAGCTGTGCATAACTTCATGTTTGTGCAGCAATATGTCATTAAAATAGATGTGGTAGGTTAATTTTCTGAAGGTTTTATGAAACAAAAACCTGTGCCAAATTGAGCTCATATCAACTGAAATCCAAGTTCTGCCAAGAAAGATTAATTCTGTGACCTTCTGCTGCTATGTTTTGAAACACAGTGGCTGGAGCCCCTCCATAGAGCAAGTCTGTCTGATAAGGTTTTGAATACGCTGTTAACAGTATAGCATTCTGGTATCCTGAAGCTGGCTTGTTGAAGGATCCAGCTCTTCAGGATGTCAGGATGAAAGCTCTCTGCTAAAACTACACAAGTACCGTAAGTAAAAAACAGTGTTCACATTTTTTATTTCCAGAAGGATGAAACATTTTCCTAATCAGGGACAGCAGGAGTAGTTATTCAGCTTCTGCATACTTTATCTCGATAGAAAGTGGACGACTTTTCTACTTCTTCCCCCAGGTAGAGGAGATGGTAGAAGAAATGTAACCATGTTGTTGGGGGGCCAGGAATATTTTAAGGGTTTTATCTTCTGAAAATCTTTTCCTTACTTGTGATCTTTACTCAGAAGTAATTCCACAAAAATCAGTGCAATTACTGTTAACATTTATATTATCAGGTTGTAAATCCTTAGGGGAAGCGATAATGAAATGGAAGATGTGTCCTTCAAACCTTGTTTATCTTAAACTCAGTTTGCAAAATTTGTAGAGAATCATACCAACTTACGCCTTTATGCAGTTTTTTAGAATGATGCGTCTGAAACCCTTTTGAGTATTCTTAGGCGGCATCAAACTTTCATTACTAGGGTTTTGCAATTATGAAGGCTAATACCTTGCATTGCCTTCAGCTAGTCTTTGTGAGTAACTGGTCCCACTGCTCTGCCCAATAATATCATAGTTCATGCAAGATCATCTTTTTCTACACTTCTTTTCTGCCTTCCAGTGCCTTCAAAACTGTTGAACTAGCTGAACTGTTAAGCCAGTGAATTGCAGCTTTTTTTTTTTTCCCCCACGGCGATCTCTAATAGTGGCTGAGTTTATCAGCTTTAATACCTGTCCTTAAGTCAGAGGGATGGACGAACCATAGCAGCTTGAGGATTTTGTGCAACAGCATAAACTTAAGGACTGTGGTTTTCTATACAAAGGATTATAAATTCTTTACAGAAGACTGCTTGAAGATCAGTATTTCAGAGCCACAGTTCAATACATATCACCTGTAAGTTTCTAGCAATCGGGTCCTGTTTCAATCAGCTCATCTTATGTTTATTTTTATGAAATGCAGCCTTTTTGCCCTTCCTCTTCTGCCTCTGGTTTCAATACTTCCATAACTTGTACTGTTGCACTGTGCTGTAGCGTTGTTAGCTTTCATACTATCATGACTTCGTCTTCAAGTGACAACAGCATGTGTTATGGCACCAAGTCACTTAAACCCAGGTTTTTTCCAGCCAGTGAGCTAATATGTACTGAAACACATAGAAAAACAGTTTTCTTCAGTTAGTTCTCACTTTGTCTTGTCTTTATACCACTCAAAGACTTTTGCTGTATTTTCAGCTGTTCTGGATTCATTCTCCAACACTCTCTTCTTTTCCAACACTGAATTGGGCACCTGTTGATTTTACTGAGGTGGCTGAAATGTGAAAAACCAGAAGAGCACTAGAACTCTAAACCCACCCTCCTTTTCAGGTCTTGTTCCTTTCTTCATATGTGTGCTCTTTCCCACTTTGCTACAATCAGTAATAAGATCTTACAGAAAACTGATTTTTTTTTTTTTTCCTTTTTTCTTGCTGTCTGTCATTTGCTTGTTTAAACAGCTTTCAGAGATTGAGAGAAACTCTTGTAGCTTATTGTTAGGTTTTCATTCCTGGTCTGTTGATAGAAACCATCTGTGACTTACCAATACTAATATATTATATATTATTAACCTAGATACATATTTATTACACATATAACATATATACATATTAAAAATATAGCTGTATCTATATAGCTGTCTCTGGGTATTTTATTAATTGTTAGCTGGTGACAGAGTGCTTCCAAGTACAAAGACTGCTCAGCTGTGGGTACTTGTTTCCTTGTGCTTGCTCAGAACAAGCATCAAGGAAATTGTGGACCTGGATTTTCCTCACCTGAAAGCTCTGGTGGAAGTTGTGATGTCAGTGTGTTGACACTTGGGAGCTTTACCTAAGCATCACGGATTGTGACTGTAGAAACCCTTAAACTGTGTTTTAAGAGGAGAGTTTTTAAGTCACTTGTGTTTTGAGCATCTTTTAAAAACCAACATAAACAGCTGAGAGAGCATCTTTCTACAGTAAATGCTTGTAAGACTTGTCTTCAGTAACTTCTAAACAGACGAGCAGAAGTTTGTTCATCTGAACTAAAAGATAAACATCTACTTCTGACAGAAAATACTGTTCCCTGTCATATGCTCTCCTCTTATTGTTTGGTTGTAAGAACAAAAACAGAGTAAACCTTGTAAAAATTATTACTTCTTTTGGATTGGATTCACCACAGTTTGGGCTGTGGTGAATTTAAATGTGTTAGAGGTAAGAAAGACAGAATCTACTCCACAAAAAGTTGAGCTTTTTAGAGCAACTTAAGAGTAATATTTTTTTAAAGTGCATCATATTTTTGAGAGACTTAAGTTTCAAGCTCAGCTAAAATTAAAAGATGGAGAATAAGTGATTGATTGACTGGGGGAGGATGAATAAGGTAAACCAGTGATGTTCTCTTTATTCTAAGCAATACATTGCAAACAAAAGAGGACAGCAGAAAAGGTAAATTATTAATCTGTGAGCCCAGATGAGCCTTTGTTTTTCTTTTGCAGCTGTTGTTTTTTTTCTGGTGGCCAGACTCTACTTTTCAAGAGTTTTCCATAAGCATAAGAGAGAAGTATACTTACCTTTGGAGTTATAATTTCTAAGGTTAGGTGCCAGTGTAAAAGGGCCTGGCTGTCTGCAAAACTTTCTCAGAAGGAGCAACAGAAACTAACTTCTGCATCAGACTAGGCTGTAATGTGAGAAAAAAGCCAACCCACATTTGGTTTTTTTTACATTAGGTTAGGTTGCTTTTGGGCATTTTTCTCTGTCTGGAAGGAAAATTTTCACAGAAATCGTTGCTTTTTTTTTTGTTTGTCATTTCAAATTGAGGTCTCAATTTATCTGTTAGAGACTGTGAGCTAAATTGGGGTGTCTTTTAATCACTCATGTACTGAAACCTTACAAAAAGCATTGTGTACAGTCCCCTTAGTTCCAATATTACTTTCAATTTCAAATAATTATTTTTTAAATGTTTTTTTAATCCCATGGAATCCCAGTGTATTGAACACTTAACTAATGAATGTGTTATGGACGTTTCTTATCAGTCACCTTTCAGTTGAAACTGTCAGATGTGTAAGAATGCTGCCAAATATTTCCCCTTCTGCTATGGGATGGAGCTCTGGTGCATGAACTCCTCTGGCCACCCAGATATATTGTGGAGTGGTTGTGTTCAGCCAGAAAGTAGAAAGACTGTCTTGAATATGTGCCTGCTTCTAATTATGAGAGGGCATCATGGCACAGAGGCGGACAGTCTTCTGGGTCACTGATCTAAACACGTTTTTTGCTTCTGATCTGGTTTTGAGTGTGACTAGAGGACCTTGGCACTTTGTTGTAAAATTAGGTGTGTTTATGTCCAGTGCTAGCTCAAAGAACGACCTTTTCTGGCTACCCGTATTACTGCTTGCTCAGTCTCACTCAGGCTGACTATTTATGTAGTGGGCACATACAGTGCATGGAGTTAAAAGAAATTCTTAATTGCTAATTCAGCAAATGATTAGGAATGATAGTTTAGCAGTGGACTGGCTTGAATTAAATAACTTGGGCTTACTAGATTTAGTGAAGACAAGCTCTGTGATGAGATATACTGAGCTCGCAGAAACAAAGGAACTGAGCAAGACCCCTATTTTCCTGTACGTTTGTGTGTCTGTGTGTGTTGCTTTGGGTTTTTTTCCTCTTTCAGGACACAAAAAAAAAAAGCTTATCTAGATGGTATTTGCTTTTTACAAGTTAAAACAAGCAAGTGGAAAAAACATAGAACTCTCTGTGAACAACTTATTTTTAGTTCATTTGTTCAGGATTGAGTAATCCCTGAGATGAGGCATCGTGAGTCAGATTATTCATTATAAATTGAAGTAAAATATCGTAATTTACAAGTTCCTGTACAGGAAAATTACGGAGTAGATAATTATTTTGAAATGGGTGTGGTTTGTGGATGTGAAATATATATAGTATATATATTTTATATACTATGAAATATCCGGGGTAGTGATCAAAACAAAATGGGTTTCTGAAAGAAAGAATTGCCTTTTAAAGGTCTTGCTAGGCATATTTTGAATAAGAAATTTAAGAATTATCTTCATAATTGAATCTTGATGTATTGAGTCCATATCTTCAGCGCAGCATATGCAGGATCTCATAGACTCAGTGCCTTATTCATAGTGTTTAATTTCTGCTGGGACATAAATTTGACCCATCCTGTGAAATGTTTGTTTTCCATCCTCTTCCAGCTGGCTTCTTTTGTTACATTTTCCATCACATTTAAGTTATATTGGTAAAAATACCTTTTTAGAATAAAAAGAAAATGCCATTTAATTTTCATGTGTAGAATTTAAGAATAATTGAGGCTGGGTGCAACCTCTGATCATTTCATCCAATCCCCTGTTCAAAGCAGAGACAGATTCGAAGTCAGATTTGGTGGCTCAGGCCTTGTGCAGTCAAGCGCTGAATATTTCCAAGGATGGAGATTCAAAAAGTTCTCTGGAAAACCTGCTCCAGTGCTTGATCAGTAGTGTGATACATTCCCTTCCCTGCCCCCCCCCATAGATCTAATAGAAATTTGCCTGTTCCTGTGTCCTTTGCTCCGTGTCCTTTTGGTGTGAACCTCTGAGAAGAGCCTAGGTCTTCCAAATATGTAAATGCCCATTAAGGAACTGTGGATAGCAATTAGGTTCCCCCTTTGTCTGATCTTCTCAGGCTGAACAGACCCACATCTCTCAGCCTGTCCTTGTATGTGCTTCAGTCCCCTAGCCATGTGTGTGGCCCTTTAAGGATTTTTTTTAAATTTTTATCTATTTAAGACTGTAATCAAATGTCCGTTCATTATAGCATATGTGGCAAATAGATAGACCAGATGCTCTAACAAGCCTCTCTTCGTTCTCTGATTTCTATCATTTATTTCAGGGAAAGTGTGAGAACACTGTCTCAAAGGATATGTACTAAAAGAGACCTATTGTATAAATCCACACAGAATTCAGAGAATGCAAAATAGCAACTACTCTGTGGGAATTCATCCTCTGTTATTAGTGCAGGCAAAATGAGTCAATTAAAACATTTCTGTTGAACTACTTGTTCTTTCAAATCCTTTAATTGCTCAACTAACTACAGGAAGACTAAAATCTAGAAACCATTTGGGAGAAGATCATATTTGAGTATGTTATACTGCATTAGTATCATCAACCACTTGATTTTGCAAGAAATTTTTGCTTCAGCTTATGAAGAGGATTTCTGTTCTAGCAAAAACATTAATCATGGATTGCCTCAATTGAAGTTTTGTGTGTATTTTTCCCTCCTCAAGGGTGATGCAGATGGTGACAAGCCCCTGGAAATCCATGCTGCTTCAAATGAAGAGCAAGCCCAGAAGTAGAACACCAGATCACTTGGCACCAAACAGGTAAAGGATAAAGACTGATAACAGTATGTGGCTACAGCAGCAAAATAACCTGGAAAAGCTGAACACTTGCAAGTTTGACTTGTAGTTATCTTCTTCATATTGATGAAGAAGGAGGGGAAGAGAGGTAATAATTTTATTCATCTTAACGTTTCTCAAGAATATGCGTGCTCCTTAACACTATTTAACTTATCTAAATTCTTCATCTTTAGAGCATAGCAAGTAAATGTATGTCTCCACCAAGGGTTCCGAGTTAATTTAGCAAGGCCATGTATTGTGGTTTTTTTCCTTCTTCCCTTGCCATCTCTGCCCCCCATACCAAAAACCTCTTTGCTGCCTTTGTCACACCTGTGCAGGTATGAAGGAGGGGAAAGAAACGTCTTTCCTACTGGTACATTTTCGCTAAAGATTTGTCAATGCCAGGGTACTGCATTATCTTACAGCCTGTAACAGTCCACAGTGTGCCTGACCTTTCATGTTGATGCACCTCCCTAATGAGATGTGCTTCATTAGTTGGGAACGAATGATGGAGGAAATGGAGGCAGCGTTTCTGAGTTCTCTGAGCCAGAAACTCAAGTTGATATGCTAGTTTTGTTTCCGACTTGGCCACTGGCCTGCTTTCTAAACTTAAGCAAGTCCTGCGATTGTTACAGTTATCTAGAAAAGCAAAACAAAAACACCTTCTCAACTTTGTTAAGATGGCTCAATTTCATAGGACAAAAATTGCTCTGTATTTGAGGCTTATTATTACTAATGATAACGTAATATATTACGTTAATGTATTAATGACATAGTTTAATACAAAATCAATAATGTCTACTCTGCTATCCGTTGATAAAGGATGTCTTTCCTAAACATGTTTTCTAGTTGCTTATCTTTGCCCTATATTATATTCACATTATATTAAAGACTTATTTTCCATCAGAAAGTAATCCTAGCGTTGTAGGGACTCCTCATTATTTTTGTATGTGTGTTCCATTTACCAGTAAAATTCTTTCTTTTCCTAACTGCCGCCAACTGTGTAAATAGAGTCCGGATTTAGAAAACTGCACCAATTTTTTCTTCCATGCATCATCACCAGTCACAAATGTTTGCAGATGTGATGGAATGCACACATCTGCTAAGCAACAGCGTTCCACTGTTATACTGTCAGCTTTAAAAGCTAACTAGTTTCTAATGTTGTGTTTCCCTTAATGTATTTTTAATTTCTATATCTAATTCTCACAAGGGCAGAAAGGTATGTTGGCTGGCTGATTTACTGAGTACATTAGTTTTTCCTTCAGGCATATGGATATAAAGTCTTCAAGAATGTGTGTTTTCCAAGAATTTTATAAAAGAGCCATGTAAAATAAAAATTTTTAAAAAAATAGGAAGAACAGTTTTGTTTTGATTAAAGATACCCAGGAGAACCAAGAGGAAGAAAAGCTTCTCTGAAATTTACTAAAATATTGTGCTTATTGTGAACTAGGACAGAGCTACTAAATGATAAAAAGCCAGGAAAATTTTGTTTATATATGTGGGATACTGTACAAATATCAAGGTTCATTAGAAACAGAATCCTGTAAATAGCTTTTATGTTCTTTTAGCATTTCATAGAATCATAGAATAGTTTGGGTTGGAAGGGACCTTTAAAGGTCCTCTAGTCCAACCCCCCTGCCATGGGCAGGGACATCT